GGATACTGCCCACGGGTCTGCGGGCAAAGAGCGATGGCTACGAAGGGCCAACGGCAACCGGCATTTTGCGGGGAGGGAAAAGAGGGGAGGCCAAAGAATATCTTCTGCAACAAATCCCAACATAAACACTTCAGAGTCCTGCAATAAAGACCTGCTTCCATGAAAAAGGAAAAAAAAATGCTTTTTTTAAGAGAAATTATAGAAGAAAAGCATGTGATCATTTGTGGAAAAAAAAAAAAGCCCAAACCAGTCACAGTTTCCCTTTTGCTGGAAAAGTCAAATTTTAGCTCCGTAAGTCTTTAACTTAGGATCCTCAACCTCCTCCTCCCTAGTCTCGGTGAGCAGGACCTTCCTGTGGTGGGAGCGGTAACGCCATACTTTGAAAATCTCCTTCAAGATGGTAACATTTCATGTATTTACCATCTACTTACCTGCTTTGCTTAAAACACAATGTAAAGGGGGAAAAGTGTGCTTTCTAGCCAAACACACCTATTATTGTATATTTTACACATGGATACACATGTATATATGTATGACCTCAAGGAGTTAAAATACATATATACATATACACATACGTATACATAGAGAGAGAAAACACAAGTTTAAAAATAGGTGAATGGCATCATCTCTGGCATTTGTCATCAGTCATCCAGAGGAAGGGAAAGGGAGGTGGGAGACATCTGAAGGCAGAGATGACACAATGACAGAGACCTCCCGCTCTCCCAGATTACAGACGTAGGCACACGGTTCCTGTTGCATTTCTGCTTGCACCGGTTTGCTTCTCTCTTAGGGGTAAGACAAACCCAGCTGACTAGCCATGGTACTTCTGTTGTAATCTTTTTTGAACGTTTTCCATGCTCTGAGTATTATTTTCTGGGTTCTCATTAGCGAGTTTGCCTGGATGTCCACGTGGGGAAAAAAGGGACATGTTTTAATGGCAAAAACTGTTGGCTTTCAGTAAATTAAAGGCATTTTTTCAGTAAGTGGCACAATTTAATTTTCTGCTGAACATTCGAAGTAGACCGAAAAGTCATATCTCGCAGGTTGAACCTTCTCCAGGTGAATGGACAACATGTCAAAAAAACCCTCACGTGGAATAATTTGGCGGGGGGGGGGGAAGTGCAATACCTCAGTAATTCTCTTTGCACAGTGAGAGCATAATGTGGCTACAATGCATGACAAAAATCAGTGATAAACCACCCAGCCTCTTCTCTCTCTTCCTTTGGGTGCAGTTCAAAGTGTGCAGAGAGCTGGCCAACCGCCTGTACACTGCTGAAATGCCAAAGCCACCCTCAGGACAGGGATTCAATAACGACAGCGCGCCGGGCTTCTGGAGAGAGATGAATTTCACCCTTCCAGGTCACCGTTCAGAACAAGGGACCGGGATGCCTCCTATCTGCTTTGGCATTAACCTTCTGTCTCTAATCAAAACCTTGTGACACAAAAGATGCTGGAGAACAGTTTTGAGCCTTCCTCCTGGTGAGGATCTGGGCAGCGTGGCTGGCCGAACATGACCGGCCCTGCAATCGCTTCCTTCAGAATTCTACTCTTTTCAAAACAACCTGCATTTTAAAAACAGCTCCTTCCCGGCTGGTTGTACATCCAGCCTGTGCTGGTGATGAGTGGAATAAAACACTGGTTATCCTTGTACAGGTTATTGCAGTTCGTGCGCAAGTGCAGCACCCTCGAGCACCCTCTCGCTTTAGTAAAAATGAAGTTTATTTCACTCTTCACCCCATATATTCTCTCTCTACATATAAATACTGTATATCCAGTACAAGGCACATACAGACAAAACCAGAGGAAGACCACTACCATTCTAGGCACTCGTGTAGTACTTAGTCCGTCTCCACCACAGTGTAGTAGAGGTTGGGCGAATGCAAAACGACAGAGGTAACAACAGGCTGAGGAGAGAGTCCAGGCAGGTAGGGTTGTGTTGGGATGTAACTGCAGCGCTCGTAAAATATACCCATTGCTACATGCATGGACTGGACTACTATGCCACATTTACCCTCCTGTGTCAGGCTACCAGCTCTGCAAGCAGCCGACTCGAAGTTGCTGTTACATTCCTCGGTCAAAGTTACGGAAGCGAGGGCAACCCGGGTCAAATCCCAGTAGGAAACATGGCACTGAGAGGGCATGCACGGAATATGACAGGAGTGACTCGTGTCGTTCGGTTTAGTCACATACCTCTTTCCCCTGCCAGGATCATCCAAGATTGAATGAACAGTAGAAAAACAGGGAGGAAATTTAAATATGCAATCAGGCATTAGTTGGGTGTTGCGGATTGCTGTGTATTATCAATAAGTTAAATTATACTGCAAATTTAATAGACACTGGAATGATTTTTAGGTGATTGTGAAATTATTTATCAAATGCTCTTAATGCAAAATATAGTGAGTATATCAATGGGAAGGAAAAGAGAAAATAGTGAATGAGTGTTACATTACCTACAGTCATAAACAATAACTGTTCACTCCAAATTTTAAAATTATTAACTTTCCAAAACGCATCCAAGAGCACCAGGTCTATAGAGAACTCAGGGCTCAATCCTGCAAATACTTACACGGGTACGCAACGTCACTTGCTTGGGCAGAAGTGTCCCAATGGGCTGAGAGCGGGACTACAGCCAGCCATGTCAGCTGCCTGTGGGGTCAAGTGTTTCCAGGA